ACAAATTCAAAAACAGATAGAAACTTATGTCTTTCTTTAATAATAGACTAGGTTGAAATGTCCAAATGCCGTCCCTAGTGCTTTTAGTCTCATTACAAATGTGGGCATATCTTGCCGTACTGTTTTCCAACTCAGCTTCATTAGTATTCCCAGATTTTCAGTCCGTCCCCGTCCGCCACGGCCCGGCGGCGGCCCTGACGGCTGCTCGCCGCGTGGTCCTCCCTGCCGCCCGCCGCTCGCCGCCCCTAGAAGTCTTCCCGCACCTCGTCGCCGTCACACACGTCGCACAAGACCTCAGTCCCGGGCCCTGGCAGCGCCCGCCGCAGCTGGGCGCGCTGCTGGCCGCACTGGCCCGCCTCATGGTCGGCACCGAACCTCATCAGAACGAGCTTCCGCAGCGCAAGCAGGCCGCACTCCTCCAGCAGCGGGCGCTCCATCCACCACACGTCGTCCTTCGAGCAGTCCGCCCGCATCTGCAGCACCTCCAGCGAGTGGCCGTGCGCCAACAGCAGGACCTGCACATCGACGTACAAGACGTTCTCCACACTAAGCCACTGCAGGCCGGTGTGTCCCGGCGGGAGCTCGAGCTCGACCCGCTGAATGGGGGGGATCAGCCAGGAAGGTCCAAACAAAGGACCATCATCCCACATTTTCAGCCTCCTCAGCCGCGGCATGGCGAGCACCGCACGCAGGTGGGTCACGAGGGCGCCGTCCACACTCAGCTGCTCCACGGAGGGCGCGGCACGGTACATCAGCTGGAGACTCCAGACCATGTCCGGGTAGCAGCACACACCGACCAGCCGCGTCACCTGCGGGAGGGAGAACAGACACTCAGGGCGGCTGACGACACATATGAGCTCACCCGCGGCCTCGCGCGGGTCAAGAGGCTCGAGGTCCGGCTCACACTCACCCCTGGCGCGGCCCGCATGGCGTCAGCCTTCTGCTGCAGCATGGCATCGGGTCGACTGCGGCTGAAAATGGTCACATCCATCTCCCCCAGGCGCCGCAGCTGGTCGAGGAGAGTTGCGGGTGGCGCGGCTGCAGGTGGTGCAGCAGCAGGTGGTGCAGCAGCAGGTGGCGCGGCTGCAGGTGGCGCGGCTGCAGGGGGCGCGGCTGCAGGGGGCGCGGCTGCAGGCGGCGCGGCTGCAGGCGGTGCAGCAGCAGGTGGTGCATCCCGTGCAGCGACTCGATCCTGCACAGCCAAGTCGGAATAGGGTAGTACAGTACGGCGAGGCATACGGATCCCTGAACGCCGACGGCTTTGCCCAACGCCGACAACCATGGCGCCGGACATCCTTGCGTGGGCAAGTTGGCTCATAAAGGCTCTCAAAGTGTACGACGTGGTTCAACGGAGTTCTATAATAAACGTTCATTTAAGTCCAAGAATCATTAACACCGAACTTGAAGCCGTTTTTATTTTAATATGATTTCAAAAACTCGAAAACACGATCGAATGAGTAGTAAATTTGAGTGGTAGGCGTCAAAAAATAAAAACATGGCAGGACGCCGCATTGCCTACCTCGGTGAGCGCGGCGCCGCAGCCCGAGCACCAGCCGAGGGGAGACCTGTGGGGCACAAAGTCAAGCTATGAGGCCACCGAACACTTCGCCTCCGCGACTGGCGGCGCGACCAAGCTCACCTATCCAGTCTGCGTTCTTCAAGCAACTTTAGCGCCAGGAAGTTGGTCGGGAGTGCATCCGGCGGGCCGTTGAAGTCCTTTGGGAAAAAAAGGAAGGGAATGAGTGGAGGACAGGGAGGCGGAGGCGGACACAGGGTACAACTCTGGACACTCACCCGGCGGCACGTCGGGCACCTGGCGTCGGGCAGCCGCCGCAGGCACTGTAGGCAGGCCGAGTGCCCGCACGGCAGGGACTTGGGCACCCGCTCGGCGCCGTCGAGGTGCTCGGCGCAGAGGTCGCACTCCATGGCTATTGGTGACGCGGAAAATCTGAAGAAAAAAAAAAAGCGAAGATTTTCTGGTTATAACCTCCCAATCCAGCAAAGGTCGTTCTGGGTTTGTGAGCTCCACGCAAGATGTTGGCGTTGACAAGAAAATGCACTGCACACAACCCATTGACCACAAGTAACGGACAAAGCGTGCAGACTGTAAAATGACTACACGTAGACGTGACTAGAAAAGTGATTGGAGTTGACTCAAATAGTAATACTGGTCGAAGTAATGTAGCCCTCGGGCCTTTGTACTCACTCTTTTGTCGGGCGAGGGCTCGGCAGACCGTCCTCTAACCTCTCCGCTCTCGTGCGGTGGGCGGCTCGCTCAACTCTGACCGTGGCTCTGGTCTGGTCTTGGGTGATGCGTCTGCTCGTCTGCTCCAAACCACGCTAAACTATGAACTTCCTCCGGGCGGGTCTAGCCCCTCGGCGAGTCACTCGGGTTGAGCTGAGGCCTGAGCGTTGTTGTCTGACGAGGCTGGGACTGAATTATCAGAAAGGTCCGCGGCAGCGGCAGCGGCAGCGTGTTGTTGTTTACCTGTGTCGGCTTTCGGCGCGAACTGACATCACATCGGCCGGCGGTACCCCCACCATGCACCACACCGGCGCTACCCCGCGCCAGTGTGGTGCGGGGCGGCCCCTGGCGGCAGCTGCGGCAGACCACAGACTACCTGCCATTCCCCCGAGTACCCTGTGGAATTCCCTCACAGAGACTCACACTTGGGACGACTGATGTTCTGCACACGTTTGAGCTGTACGAGCAAGCCTCGTCACCGATGTTGTTACCTCATGTATAAGGTTTACACAGTCTCATGACGTTTAGTGTGTTTGTCATTTCCAACGGAATGAATACTGGTTTAAACTTCGTTTGTAAAGACCCCTCTTCAAATTGTTCAA